CCGCCGCGGGCGTCTGCCGCGGGAGCGTCGGCGGGCTCGGACCCCCGAGGAGCGCCGTCCTCTAAAGGAAATAACAACAACAACAAAAAAAAAAAGAGTTTGAAATGGTCGAGGTGATGTGTTTGATCAGCTGCCTCTACCCCATGGATCGGTTTTGGGGCGTAGAAAAATTTATAGTGTCTGCCCGGTGCGCCTTGAAAGGATCGTTTCATTCCTAAAGGACATGGAGGAAGGGAAACAAAACAGATGGATTAATAAATCATTTTTAAATGCCCCTTGTAACCACCCAATCAGCTTTTCTGTACTGATTGTGTCCCTTTTGTAAATATCTTCTGTTTGCCCTTGATCTTTTCCTTATCCCCACCCAGTGCTGATCCAGCAAACGTTTAAAGGTCGCCTTATCGTACAAGCTTTCAAACTATTCCCATACCATGTTGGGGAGAACACGAGTGGCTTGGAAATAGGGTTCCGGACTTTAAAAGGAGATTATTTGGAGCAAGAAATAAAAAAAGCCTTGTATTCATACTGTTAAAGGATTTTGATATTGACTTTGATTTCTCTAATCTTTAGTGACAGCTGCACTAAATTTTGGTCCTAGTGATGCAGTGCAGAAAAGCACACTGTTAATTGAAATTCTCGTTGGGCATTTAACTTGAGCCAAGAAATACATATTTTGTTTCATTGGAACTTTTTGAACAAAGGTGTCTCCTGTGGATGAGTACCTTTATGCTAAGGTACTGCAGAATTTTCGTTCGCAGTACGTGTGCTAATCCTTGATTCTCGTCCCTTCTTTAATTTTAGATAGCTAATTTCTCTTTTGTCCTTTGTGAAGGAGTGGCAACCATATTTTATATTAAATATAAAATGGAGTCACGGAGAAGGAGAAAAGCAACCATTTTTGAGGCTATCAAAAGCCCTGTTGGCTCTATAACTTTTTGAAATCTGGGCTATAGACAATGCAATATATGAAGTTAGTATATATTAATCTATTACATCTGATAATATAGAATAGTTTGTAGAAGGGGAAATGTGAATTAAATAGTTTGTAGAAGGGGAAAAATTTGTGAATTAATTTATTGTAATAATTTCACGGTCATTGCCACCCTTATGACAGAAGAAACATGCATCTATTCTATATGCATTGACTGCATTATCATTTTAGCTATTCTGAGGAAGAATTGTTGTATATGTGCAGCGGACATTTTCTCTTCAGTTAGCATAATTTTGCCAGCGCACAGTTTATGCGGATGACTTGCTTGGACTTAAAATAAATGTTGCGTAATTTTAGTTATTTGCGTGAAATCTTCTACAGCAGCTGTTAACATTTTTATAATTCTGTAGCTTACAGTGCAACCAATATGTTTGCAAACTTTGAAATGATAAATGACCCTTGGACTAAGACCTTTCAAGCTAAACTAATAGTCTGGTGCTAAATTTTGCAGCTGAGTACTATAAATCATCCAAATACGGGTTGGTAATTAAACCCTTGACAGGCCTGGCAGTTCTGTGATGTCTTAAAAATTATCCTTGCTGCTTTGTGAACAACTAAATGGCAAGCTCATGTGATTTTGAAATGCCCCACGCTGTATATGTAAACACATGCCTAGTGCATCTTCTGCAGTATTGTTTGTAAGTCATACTGAATGTAGCTGACATCCTCACCGTCCGCAGGCATGAACGTAAATAGTTTGATGCACGTTTTTTGACGTATAAAGTAACCTAGTATATGCAGAAAATGAAGGTAAAAGAATAGGCCTTGGAGCTTGATCTTACGCTTTCCTTATTTGGATGTGTTTGCTTTTGTTTTTTCTTAAAGGAACAAGAGCACTCAAGGTGAAGGATAATAATCAACTAGAATCAGCACTTTGAATGAAATTTTGTTTCCCTGTGGCATCTTGAACACTTTCTTCTTCGGGTTTTGAAACAGACTTATAACTTTGTGGCATAGCAGCTATGCAGCTTGAAATCCAAGTAGCACTCAATTTTATTATTTCGTATTTGTACAATAAGCTTCCCAGACGACGTGTCAACATTTTTGGTGAAGAGCTTGAAAGACTTCTTAAGAAGAAGTATGAAGGGCACTGGTATCCAGAAAAGCCATACAAAGGATCAGGGTTTAGATGTATACATATAGGGGAGAAAGTGGACCCGGTCATAGAACAAGCATCCAAAGAGAGTGGTTTGGACATTGATGATGTTCGTGGCAACTTGCCTCAGGATCTTAGTGTTTGGATTGACCCATTTGAGGTTTCGTACCAAATCGGTGAAAAGGGACCAGTGAAAGTGCTTTATGTGGATGATAATGAAAATGGATGTGAGTTGGATAAGGAAATCAAGAACAGCTTTAACCCAGAGGCCCAGGTGTTCATGCCAATTAGTGACCCAGCATCTTCAGTGTCTAGTTCTCCTTCTCCTCCCTTTGGTCACTCTGCTGCTGTGAGCCCAACTTTCATGCCCCGCTCCACTCAGCCTTTAACCTTCACCACTGCCACATTTGCTGCCACCAAGTTTGGCTCGACCAAAATGAAGAATAGCGGCCGTAGCAACAAGGTCGCCCGCACCTCTCCCACCAACCTTGGCTTGAATGTCAATGACCTGTTGAAGCAGAAAGCCCTTTCCTCCTCCATGCACTCTCTCTACGGGCTTGGCTTAGGCAGTCAGCAGCAGCAGCAACAACAACAGCAGAAGACTTCTGCCCTTTCTCCTAACGCAAAGGAGTTCATTTTCCCCAACATGCAGGGTCAAGGTAGTACCAGTAGCATCTTTCCTGGTGACAGCCCCCTTAACCTCAGTCCTCTCCAGTACAGTAATGCCTTTGATATGTTTGCAGCCTATGGAGGTCTAAATGAGAAGTCTTTTGTGGATGGCTTGAATTTTAGTTTAAACAACATGCAGTATTCTAACCAGCAATTCCAGCCAGTTATGGCTAACTAAAAATAAAACGAAAGTGAAATACAAGTAAATACTATTGTACAAGTTAAAATGCACGTACCCAAGGGTGTATCTTTTTTTCCACCTCTTGAGATTTTTTTTAAGGCTTGTAGTATGAATACATTCAAGCTTGGTTAGATAAATACAACATGCATCATTTTTTCATTTGCCAACCAAGCACAAAATTATTTTATACTGACTGTACATTACAAAAATATACTCTCAAAATATGGCCTCTTGCAGTATTTAAGATATAGCAAGGACGTGGCTAATTTTTTTCGCGTGTGTATATATATGTACGCAAACATACATGTATATACATATTAAAAAAATTGGCACTAATAGGTGGGTTTATTGGTCTTTTTCTAATTGTATAATTTAATTTAGTACAAAGTTTGTAAAATATCAGAGTATATATATTGTTTCTACAACATGGTATTGCATTTATATCTTTTTACTACAGTGATCTGTGACAGCTGCAGCAGCTTCATGTTGTATTTTTTTTACTGAAATTGTAAGATATCCATCTTAAAGACATCAATTCTAAAAAAAAAAAAAATAAAAATTTCTGTACAGATTATTCCTTAGTGGTGGAATTAAAATGTACGAAATATTTGCTTTTTTCAAAAGAAACACAAATTGTATTTTCTGTTAAAAGTTTAAAGATTTTTGCTATATATTACGGAAGAAAATGTAATCGTAAATATTAATTTTGTACCTACATTGTGCAATACTTGAAAAAAGGTATAAAAGTATTTTGAGTCAGTGTCTTACATGTTAAGAGGGACTGAAATAGTTTATATTAAGTTTGTATTAAAATTCTTTAAAATTAATTGGCTGGCTTTTTGAGTTTTGAGTCAGTGTCTTACATGTTAAGAGGGACTGAAATAGTTTATATTAATTAAAATTCTTTAAAATTAATTGGCTGGTGTTGTCTGTGTTTTTTTTTTTCTTTTTGAGATCAGCGCTGCGTTTGTTGTGGTCTGTGTTTTTACTTTTCTGCTGAAGATCAGAGCGCTGCGTTTATTGTGTTGTCAGTGCTAATGATGCAAAAAAGTCTGACTCAGTGCATCACAAAGGAGCGATGGAAAGGGTTGCTGTATTGATGCACCACAATAATGGGTTGCTTTACCTAAAATACTCCTGACAAAGCACATAGCCTGATTAAGGACTTGCCTGCAATTATTTGAGCAAACTTTCGCTTGTTTCCATAACTGCAGCTCACTGAAGTCAGAAGGTAATTTTATTTATTTTTTTCCCTTGAGAGTTCAGACCGTGAGCTCTGTGAACGTGGAGTCACTGTGCGATGCGATGTGCCTAGAAGAGGCTCAGGTGATCCAATGACATTCGCTTTCCGTGTCGTCAGCACGGATTTGGACTGTGCTCTCGGGAGGTCCTAGAGCAATGCATCAGCGTGCTGTGTCTGCGTTGGGGATTAATAGTGCAGAAACCAGACTGAATAAAAGTGCTAATTTACAGTTTACTAAACTCATTGTAAACTTACATTTTATATGCTCTATTAAAAAGAGAAATGTAATGCAACGTGACATTCTAAGGTTTTTATTTTAGTGGCTTTTACCAATTCTAACTTAATAGATTCTCAAAACGTGAATGTGAGTGGGAGGGGAAAGAATTCGGAGGCTGACGAAACAACTCCGCTTTTCCAGGGCTATTTTGAAGTTGGATCCCTTACTCTTTCCCGTCTGTTCGGCAAATAGTGTTCCTTGCTAAGGGACGTTGTCGAGGGAAAGAGAAACTTACTTCTAGCGAACATCAACTTACTTTCCATGGCAGTTCCAGTCGTACAAAGAGAAGATACGTGCTAGGTGGATAGTCCTTTGGCTCATGATGATGAATGCTGAGCTACAGAAGGAGTACAGGATTAAAATTATCTGAACTTCAGTATTCTGAAACTGGATTTTGAGACTGAAGATCAGTCTTTTCCTGCTTCATGCACTTGATTTTACAAAAGGGGTGAATTCCGCGCACGCCCCCGGTTTGGTGTGAGCAGAGTTTTGGTGGAAATAGCCTAGTGCTGTAGGGAAGAGGGTGGTTTTCAACACCGGTGTGAGATCTTTGCTTTGGACAGAGGCTGTGGAGAAATGGACGGGGTGGAGAGGCGAGGCTGACCATGGCACCGATTTCTGACGCCGTGACAACCAATTCAAAAGCAGTAACGGAGCGAATGTTTTCTTAGGCATTCATCGGTCTGTATTTAACTGGCTCCTTTTTATTGAATTCGCCATCTGGTTTATCTCTCCGCTAACGGCACATCAGTGGACAGAACCGTACTTAAAAGTGCATCATTTGGTAGCTAATTTTAAGTGGATGATTTTGCTTTAAAAAGGAATTAGAAAAAAATGAGAAAAACAAATACTGGATCCATTACTGAAAAATGGAGAATGTTAGCTCTGTGTATTATTTCTATTTGAATGCCTAGACTTTAAGGCTTACTACAATTTTAGTATTTACAGTACAATAATGATACCTAAACTACCTAGAACGCTGAGCAACTTTAACGGTGGAGACTATTGTACGTGTTCTATAATATTTCTATTACTGTGGTTTAAACTGAGACCATTTGTCTTAAAGGTCACCGAGCTTATCCTCTTCCCATGCTGATTTGTTCACTTCCACTGTAACCAACTCCACGTATGAAGGGCAGTGGTCTGCAGCGAGGAAGTATCTCTGGAAACAAGGTTGTTTTTTGCAGCACCTTTTAATATAAAGATTTTAATAAGCGGGGTTTGTTTATGGTGCCTTGCAAGGATCTGTAGAGAGAGCTTCCAGTGTTCTCAAAGAATGCAAATGCGAAGATTGTTAATGTTTTCTCTTACTCCCTATAGAAATTAAAGGCGTGTGCTTTCTGTTCAGTCTGCTTCACCCATTTATTTATCTTTTGCTGAAGTTTGGTGCCGAATTTGTTAAACATTCACATTGCAACATTCTGTTCTAAGTGAGTGCCCAGTCAATCTCCGGTTTAATTTGCACGCACCCAGCATGCTGCTCTTGAGCCGTGCTCTCAGGTAAGTGCATTTGCTTTGAGAGAAAGGACCTAAAAAGGAGCGAAGGGGGAAAAGGAAGCATTTGCTCAGTTGTGCAAGTTCTTTTGTATTTTCTCTTGTGAACATGCAATTTACTTCCTTAAAATTGGCGGTGTAAGTTAAACCTCGGAAGATGTCTTTAATTTAGAGCGAAGAAAAGGGTAAAACCCTAAGCATGCGTCCCCCTCAATGCTGCTTAGTGCATCCTGTCTCTTCACTCCAAGTCCCCACCCAGGCACAAGTTAAAAGCACTTCCATCTGCAAGGCTCGCTCAATTCAGCACAGGTCGGTAGCTTTTGAGAATTGTAATCTGAGATCTGTGAAACCGAGCTCAGAGGCATCTTGGCATGGCAGGGTAGAGAGGATTCAGTGGGCAGCTACGATCTGTGCTGCATTTGTTTTGTGGGTAGACCACAGACCTTACTCTTGATCAGAAGTCTAGTAACGGTCACCAAAATGAAGTTGATCTGATTATTTCCGCAAAGGAGAGCCGGCTCACAGGTGGAGTTTACAATGCGTAGTGCTTCATTACTGCGGCGTGCTCTCAAAGGTCCCTGCTGCGGATGGGAATCCAGAGGGCACAGGCTGGCCTGGCACTGGAGTCTCGGTGAGTACAAGTTTTTGTAGTTCTCTTGACTTCAACTAACCTATCATAATTTATACAAATTGAGGACTGGGTGTAAGCCACAGAAAGATCCATCCCTCCTCTTCACCATGCAAAATTAGAAAGCTATTAAACATCGCTTGTACGATCCCTTGCTGCAGACAACCATGGCAGATGACTGCCCAGCTACAGCACGGCCGCGTGCCCAGCTGTCTGCACCCTGTGCTCCCACCGTATTGCAGCGTGCGAAAGCCTGTTAGTAGCAAACAGCCCAGCTGCATTTCTGAAATATCAAGTAACCAAACAACTAGTTGTTAAATCAGCTCTTTGGACCGGCATGGGATCAAACCAGAGTTCATTTACTGATCTGACGCCCCAGACTGTTCTATTAACGTTTCGGGAATAAATGCCTCAGAGTTTGTGTTGGTAGTTTTGGAGCAGATGAAGCAAACCGGCGGTTCAGCACTCTTTTTTATATCATCAGCAAGTTGATTTAAATTGAGTGTACAGAGTTGGCTGCATTCCTCTCATGAGCTGCATAAAAAGTTTGCTAAATCGAAGTGCCAGAGCTGTAAAATCCTGCTGAAGGGATTGTTTCCAAAGATCAGCGAGAGGAACGGTTAAACTGTTACCGTGGCGGTGCGCGTATGACTTTTGTCCTCCTGGCTTTATTTTAGTGATGGTAGTAAGGAGTTTTGCCTTACAGAAGGGAAAAAGCATTAAGACTCAGGAACATAAACCGCATTCCCTTTGGCACTACGAGTTCTCTACCTCATAGACAAAATATGATCAGTGTGTGGAACGAATAGCAGGTGTAAAATATTTTTAGAAAAACCTTGGCGTACAGTGCAGACATCCCTCAACCCCCATCCTTTATTCTGTCAACTTTGGTTTCTTAAAAACAATCTGTAGTATTGACGGCTGCAGTTTTGGTGGAACTTGCTGCAGTTTTCATTTGGTAATTTAGCACTTCAGAGGCCTGAAATGGGAGATCCTCTCCTCCTCCGAGAGCTGAGACACCATTATGTTTAAACAGTCTGTCAGCTCCGTGCCCTCATGGAGCTCATTGCGCTGCATTCCCTTTTCCCCTTAGCTTCAAGATTAGCCATAGCATAAAACAAAAGAGGACTCTGGGAATGTAGCGCCTTAATTATTGTTTAGTGCCCCTGCAAGCTTCCTTGAGAAGGTTATATCAACACGACTGCATAATGCAATTAAAAACACATCTGGAAACCCACCTTTTTTCCTTGGCAGAAGATACTCATTCCCTGCTACACCCATAACCCCTTCCATTGTCTTCGCTGCCTCTCCCACAGCATCCTCGGAAGGACCAGCTTGTGCGTTGCTCCCTTTGTCCGCTGCCTCTCGCTACTTGCTCTGCTGCACCAGGTTTTCATGCCGCTCTTCTCCTCACCCAGGCTCCACTTCTCTCTGACCTCCTCTCTTAAGTTGCTCGATGCCAGGAGCTGCTGTGCCATGGGAGACCTCGGCACGCAAGGCTCTAGCCACCGAAAGGTACCCTCTCCCTCCGCCCCTTGTAGGCGAAGGCTTACCTGACTTCACTTCATCTCTAAAGGCATAGCGTAAAGAACTGCTGAATGTCAGAATACAGTTAAGGATTGTGTTAGATGCTCTCAGTCTCACAAAACTGAGTGAATTTGCTGCTTGGGCAGCCTCATCCAGTAACGCAACAGCCTGGGAGTTTTCAGTCACGCTGATGGAAACAGGAGGTGGCAGGTTAGTGAAGAACATGGTATAACAGATGACAACTCAGGCACCCCGTGTTCCAGATCTGACCCTGGGCTACTGCCTGCCCTTTTCTGTGTTGGTTTCCTCCTCTGTCTCCACTGAAATTCACCGTTAGCAAGTGTCAGACGTTAGCTGGCTATCGCTGTCTTTTTGCTGTCAATAAGGAACTTCATCCAATTTCTGTATGGCACAGGAACATCTTCTGAGGTTGACCTACCGTTCCCTCTTTTTATTGCCTTTAGTCTCTGTGGCTTTTGAGAGTCTCCTCCGTTGTACAGTTCACTTAATGTGTATTAGATGACGTTTACATTTTGAAATAAGGCATGCATATAAAAGCGAAGCACTTGATTCTCATTGTCCATGGTATATAGAGTCTGATTCATCCACCATCGGAGCAGAAGGCCTCCGGAGCAGTGAGATCTCACATACTGACTAT